TTTAAAAAAAAAAAAAAACAAGTTGAGCTTTCTCCCCCCAATAAAAATAAACACATATAGTGCTTATTTAAAAAAAAAAAAAAACAAGTTGAGCTTTCTCCCCCCAATAAAAATAAACACATATAGTGCTTAACCAAAAAAAAAAAAAAAAAAAAAAAAAAAAAAGACTTTAAATGAGGCCATTACTTTGGCCTGATGTGGAAACTTTTATCCCATTTTTTTTTGCCTGGCACGGTACACAATAAGTGTTTGTACATACTTTTTGCAGTTTGGTGGAACCACACATGTGGAGCAAACTTCCTGGACAGAATTTAAAAACCCACACAGAGATTGCAAGCGGCTCTCGAAAAACCCCCACATGCACACATTCCAGTACATTAGCAGCTTCCTGTTTAAGAAGACAAAACCTTTTACCTCTCGTGTAGCCGAGCAACACTCAACAGATGCACATGTCATCAGCGAGCAACCTCGACCGCAGGTCAGCGAACAGCAGGTCTACCGCTCAAGCACATCTCTACCTCACCACCCAGTGGACGTCAAGGAGCCAAGGCAGAACCGATAACCCGCTGTTGTTGTTCGCTTTACTTAGGACATGCGTGACAAGTGTTTAGAAGGTGGCATATCACTTCTTTTCCTCTGCTGCTCTGCGGTCTCCAGCCGGGAGAAAGCTGAGTTAGTTTGACTGATTTCTGTTTAAAGTGCTCCCTCCAGCTCCGCTCCGATGTTTAGACTCTGCAGTGACATTCCTGGCTTATATCTGGGAAGACTCTGCACTGGTCTTCCCAGTTTTTCACCGGGTCGTGTCAAACCTCGCAAATTTACGTCCAGAGCCGAGAGGAAATGAAGGGATTGAAAACGCTTCGACTATCGTTTGTTTTTTTTTTTTGTTTTTTTTTTGTTTTTTTAATCAACGTCTGTCTTCTGTATCCTTTGAGTTACTGTTATTTCTGGTGCTCGACAAACAGATGATTTCACCTTTCTTTATAATTATTTATATGTTGCTGATAATCGCTAAGTCATGCTGTCAATGACCTCATTTACTCTAAGTCACGGATTCCCAAACTGTTACTGTTCCCATCTCAACAAAGTACTATTTGTGGCACAACTGTGTCATTGTTTACAGATAAATTATACCATTTTCTCAATTTACAAAAAAAAAAAAAACTTTGCTTAGATTATGTCCAAAGCATAAATGAATAAAGACAAACAAATTGTAAATATGACTCATCAGCTGTGTCATCACTAAGCTAAAGCTTCACTGTCAAATCATTTAATTTTACACTTAATGCCCGAAGATGACGCCTCCTTAATTAACGCTACGGCAAACTAAACTCTAGTTCTGAAAAAAAATGTGTTCTTCATTATAAACTCTCTTTAGGCAAGACTTCTTGGTTAAAAGGAGCAAAAGCTGCTGAAATATGCAGCTTGCAAAACAAAACCCTCAGGCAAAGATGAATAGAAATTATTCATCTACACATTTGTCTTTTTTTAGCAGAAGTAGAAACTCATGCTGAAAGTTTGGGAAAGAATAATCTTGACTTTGAATATATTCAGTCAGGAAAAAAAGACATTAAGAAATCAATCCTTGTTGACACAATCATTGGTGCCACAATAATTGGTATATCTGTTGTTAGTTTTATTTTTATTATTCTGCACTTAGAAAACCTAAGGCAGCTACAGACAGTGGTTGCTTTAAGCATTTCTGGGTTTATTTGTCTACTATTCATAAGCTCAGTGAATATTGAGCTGAGTTTCAGTTCAGACAGAGTCTACCAGATTTTTATTTTTTTAATAAAAATCAGGGAGTCAGGCTCACAATATCACAGATCTTCCACTTTACTATATTTTTTTTAAGTGCAAGTAGAAATGAAAAGTAGTTCTCCAAGAA